GCTCTAGGAGGAGATTCAGGTGATAAGGTGTGGGGGGGGGGGGTAGTGGTTATTGGCTAATGGTTACACAGGCCAAACAATCGTTATGACATCATAAAGTGATGATTTCATCAGAGATATCTTAGATAGAGTATTTGAAAGCCTTTGGTACAATGACCAGTCGCTGATCTGCTGTGATTAAATCAACCGTCTAGTATCGGCACAGCTTGACTGAGGTGCTGTTCTATAGAACTATTTCCTTAAAGTGTGTATATCTGAGGCACCGAGCCTTCGCAGCAGCTGGCCCTAGGCTCTGGAACACTCTGCCCCTCCATGTGAGGTCGGCCCAGACCCTAGGGGTTTTTAAATCTAAACTAAAAACACACTTCTTCTCTCTGGCTTTCTAGTTAGAGCGGAGCACGACTCCTGACTTTTCCGTGTGTTTTATTTTTATTTTGTTTTTAAGATATATCTGTTGTAATTTATTGTCGATTATTGTGATTGTAGTAATGTGTTTTTATTACATGTACAGCACTTTGGCTCGACCAAAAATCGCTTTTAAATGTGCTATATAAATAAAACCTGATTTGATTTGATTTGATTTGATTTGATTTGAGGCTTTCTTTATCAACAGCAATGTATGCATGCATCTTTAGAATGTAGTGCAGAATGAAAAATATGCTCAACGACATACTGGAGACTGATCAGGAGACCACGATATGAAGATCCACTCGTAGCCCTGTGCATTCTGGGAGTCGAGGCGGTACAGGATGTAGCAGGGCTCCTGGTCGTAAAGGAGAGAAAGCAGGAAGTGGTCATAGTCCTGCTCCCAGCTCTTTTCCGGCTCTCTGCAGGCCCCCAGCACCAGCTGCTCTGAAATCAGACCACAACGCATCACATACCTCACCCCCCCATATGGAGTATGCCCTATGCAAATTGACACAGACAGTACAGCCACAGACGATAATCATTTACATGTAGGAGGATAATTAAATATGTAGCCATTTAATATATAATTTCAGACAGAATGTCATTGTTATTTGTCATTGTTTGTTGAACATGCACATTCATACTGACTTGGTCAAATACAAAAAAAATACTTTAATGAAGTCATTTCTTTTTGATAAACATAATCTCTACAAACCATATACCTTTTTAGTGAAGTATTCATATTTTAGAGTAACCAACTTAAGCATATATTAATGTGATGGTATTCAAATACAATAACAAACTCTCAAAACTGTCTACGTAGCCCTTGTCAATCTTTATCCTTTTATTTAGGTCAAACAGAACTGCAACCAAAAATGATTTTGATTCATGATTAAATTGCAGATTATGTTTCTTATAAATAGATGAATGGCTTATTCTATAAATTGTCAAAATGCTCACTTTTCAAAGTCAACGGTGATATTTTCAAATATCATTTTTATGTCGGACCAAAATTCCAGTTTACAGTGTTCAGTAGACTGTGCCATAACACTGACAAAAGCACATCTTCACATTAGAGGAGCTGGAACCTGAAACAAGTTTGGCATTTTTGGTTGATTATGAAAATATTTTCGGACTGACTGTTTCAGCCCCCTGTTCCATCAGAAACAAACACGTATCATTTGTCACTACCTCAAGTCTAAACTGATAACATCTGAAAACCTGCTGAGAGTCCACATTGTTATTTCATGTGGCGACCCTCACCCTGTGGTGGAATAAGGTCACTGATCAATGTCTGACTGCTTTGTCAGGATGAGTTTTTAACATGACCTAATCAAAACTCTAGGCTTGGAAATCACGAATCATACACCTAAATGCTGTCCTTGTGGGGTGCGGGGGGATTTCCTGACTGTCTCTTGGGGCTCATTTCTATTCTGAGCCACAACACATTCCTGCTCTGCACACACACATACTTTCCATCAGCCATACACTCAATCTTTATTGGTCCATGTCAGTATTTAACTGAATGTAAACACGTGACTTGTGAAGTGTTTCTAACTTCAAGTTTAAAACAAGGTTATACAGTCATAAGCTATCAGAGGACCTTTTTGTTGATAACCGAGTCGCGTACCAAAGCCAGCTGTGATGAAATCAACCAGATGGATCTTGTTTCTCTTTTGAAAGGGGAACGAACATGAGTGTCAGCGGGCAGCAGCAAGCAACCAAGTCACGTCACGTGTCGCTCAAAATAGTCGAGTGACGCCTGGAAAGATCCCAGTGCTTCAGTAAGAAAGTGAAGCAGGCCTGTCACTCTTTTTGCCGCGAGACGGGCTGTCTCTATAGCAGCAAACTCATATCTGTTGACATCAATACTTCAAAATATGAGGACACATATTTGATATGGGAGGCACAGTCCACAAAGATAGCCCATTAATGTGTCTGCCATGAATCAGATTACAGTGTCAGATACCAAAACAAGATATAAACATCTCATGAACATATCAGTCCTCATTCATAAGCTGCCATGTACAGACCTATTGCCTCAATCATAATTTCTCACTGCTCAGCTGACACTCTGAATGTCTGTTTTCACACGCCTCCACTATTCTCCTACCTTAGATACGGTCTGTAACTGCGGTTAAGCAACTTTGTTTTTGTTTCGTGACCCCTTTATATGAAGCCATGTACATACATTGGATACCTTCATGCCATCTTTACATAAACAAAATCTAACAGTTATAAAATGATTCTTAGGCCTCTCATGATTTGCATGATAATAAAGATTTTTGACCAATAGGTTACATTAGTCAATACAGATGTTAAATAGGTATTTTTTTTGGGAACCATAGGTCTATAGTTCAAGAAGAGTTTGCAGCTCATGAAAAAGGGAAAACATGAATTTGCATTTTGAGCCACTCGAGGTCACTACAGACATGTTTTAATTTATAGTATAAAGTTGTTGGTGGGACCCCTGATGGGTCCCAAGAAAATCTGAGGGGTCACCAAATTATCAAAGGGATAACAGAGTAAAACCAATGCATGTCTTACTCTTACATAAAACTATGTTTACATTTTCATGCTGTCTTTGCTTTTCTCAAAACACTTAATTCTTTCAACTCTATAAATCAAATTTGATTGAAATGTCCACACAGAGGCGAAAATGTGTGCTAAGTTGACACGAGCAGATATTTCTAGAAATTGCAAGTCAAATGGTTAATGACATTAATTAACAATTACTTTAACTGTCCTTCTTTTAGTTTTTTGTATTGTTGCTTTTAGATTCTGGGATTGTGTGATTTGTTGTGTCTTCTTTGTCTGCTAACATCTTGGGACCATGCTGAGTGTTAATGTAACATTTTATCCTTTGACCACCTTAGTTTCTTCGTCTGATAATAACTAAAAGCAATAAATCATGGACAATCACTACTTGCATAAAGAACTTGTTTTTTCAGATGACAGTGATTTGTTGAGTGTCAATTTGTCATTTGAAAGCTCTGGAAAGTTGCCCAGCACATTGTGTCACATGTTTTTTTTCCACAGTTTCAAAGTAATCCACCTACAAGAAATCAAATAAATCTTTCCAAAACAAAAAAACTACCACCATGAATAATCTATCTCTTACATCACACTGAGGGCCAACTCATCTCCATGTCACCTGCTGCTCTGTGGCTCACTCACCGTCTTGGATGCACACCTTGAGGAGGCGGAGTGCTCCACCTCTCGCTCTGGTCAGAAACTCCCTCAGCTCTGGCGTCACCACTAGTGCGAGGAACATCTCGAGTCAGCGGTGTCTTCCTCCCACCAAGCACTGGAGTACGGGTGTTGAAAGACGGGTGAGGAAAAAGCAACTCACAGGACTGGAGCTCCACAGCACCAGGCCCAAATATTCAGTCCAGTCAAGAGACACTGAACTCCAAAAAGGGAAGCCTGTTAAAAAAAGTTATTGAAAAAGAGGTTCGCTGAGTGTGTCTGCTCTTGTTGAGAGTGTGTTGGTGTGAGAAGGGGCATCGCTCAAGTAAGTAGGACGGTATCATGTGCACAGACCTGGAACCTGATCACCTCTCTCCCAAATTTAGCTCCCAATGACTGAGTGTCCAGCCCCGGGTCCTAGTCTGTGACACACACACCCACCCCCCACTCAGCAGGACCTGGAGGAAGACACTTTGACCTGCAGACCTAATTAGCTCCGTGCCAATAAGTAAGAAGTATTATCACGGGCAAGTGTTTGGTAAGATGGTACTATGTCGGAGGCTTTCTGTGGTTTATGATTTAGAAATCTGTGGTTTATGATTTAGAAATCACAATGATTTGGGATGAGAAGGAAAACATCTAAGAGGAGCTGCTAGGTTTTTATTTCAAGAGGAGCATACTGTTTTGGAAAGTTTACCCAACATATTTACCTTTGTCAATCTCAGTTTACTAGACGCATAGCAACCTTGATAGTCAACAGATTGTGTAAGATGTTTTTCCGGTGTAAATCACCTGAACATGGTGACAGCTTTTTACAAATCTCTGATCCACAAATCTAAAACTAACTTCCTAGTAACTCCTAGAAAAATAAAGTAATCTCACAACTGGAACTCATAAAACAAACATAGATTTAATGCTTGAATAAATATTTTACTAAAGAAAAAACATAATTTGTACTTTTCAAAAGTTTTGCAAGATTGTAATTTAAATAGCACTGACATTTATAATAGTTCACTATTTCCTCTTCATGTGTCACCCATTTTTTTTTTATCTGACTATCTAAACGATACCAAAGTGAATCAGGAAAAAAATACAAAACATATTTAATTACATTTTCTGTTCTTTGAGTCAGTGGCTCAATAAGATCAATTACTTCTGGTAACACTGGACTCTCTCTGACACACACACACACACACACACACACACACACACACACACACACACACACACACACACACACACACACACACACACACACACACACACACACACACACACACACACACACACACACACACACACACACACACACACACACACACACACACACACACACACACACACACACACACACACACACACACACACACACACACACACACACAAAAAAGACAAACCCAAAATCTTACAAAGAAACAGTTTAATGTTAAATATAAAATATAAAAAAAGAATAGACAATTGATCTATTTCTGTGAACTTATTTACAAATTGTATTGAACAGACAGCACTTCCTGTGAAATGTACACCGTGCTGGCTGTGCTGACCCCTGCTGCTCGCTCTGTCTCTGGCCTCCAACAGAAGCCTTCACTTTGCCTTCATCAGTCATCGATGGTCGGGAGCCAGAACGCCTGAAAGAAGATAACGTATCGTCACATCGGAACCGCTTTGTGTTTGCTGGTGTTTTCCTCAGTTTCCCCAAAAAGTATTTAGCTCTCTCCATTTTCCTGAGACAAAGATTGAAAGTCACGACGCTCTCAAAGTCACACAGTTTTATCACGCGTGTACAGATTTAGTTTGGAGGTCAAGTTCAAGTTTTATTAGTCATATGTAGGTTCACAGAGGGTCAGCGGTAATAAAAGCACCAGTTGCAGGTGGGAGTACTAATCGTAAAAAGATGAAATCATTTTCAATGACACAAGGATAAAATGACACTATTCAAATTGAAAGACAATGATTGATAAAGTGACAATTAGTTACAAAATAAAAAGGTGAAAGCAAACATTAGATAGTACTGAATACATTTGTTTTGTGTACACATAAAAGTAATTGTGAGCTTTAAGGATGTTACAAAACACAATAAGTACATTTTATATTAATGTTACTAAGAACAAGATGATTAAGTCCATGAGATGCTCAGTGTAGTGACATCATTTTAAATCAACTACATTCTCCATGTATTGCATCTACAAAGGTTCTGGAATCTTCAACAGTTACTTTTTCCTCCACATCCCCCCACTCACCATGTTGGAGCAGGCACTTGCAAACGTCATGAACTTTGGGTTGAACTGCAGGCAGGTGATGGGTCCCGTGTGCTTCCCGTCTAATAAAGCCACCTTCATGCCGCTCTCTGCATTCCACACGTGGATCTTTCCGTCCTCAGAGCCTAAAAATATATATGAACAAAAGAAAAATATATTTTATGAAAACGTGACCACAGCCCACAGTATTTTTTTGGGGTACTTTCCTCTCCTGAGGCTTTTTATGGATTGTTATAATGCTATTTGACCTTGTCCAGAGGAAATGGGAAACTTACCAATCATTACAAACTGAGAATCCGGCGTGAACGATGCCTCCAGCGCTACACATTTACTGTTGTTGTAGCCCTGTGGGTGAACGAACATTCATCTATTAGAAATTATTATGTGCACATCAGAACTAGAACAGCAAACAACTGGTAGGAAGTTTAATGATCCTCATAATTTCTTAAAAAACATAAACGGTCAGTAATGTATGTGATTGACCATGTGAGGGTTTTCCAGATGCTTTGAATTTAAAACAGACACACTGTGCAAGTGTGTGATTGAGATGTGGATTCTGTTTACTTTTTTTTAATACTTTTAAGTGGTAAGTGTTTTCAGACATGTGTATCAATGAGATGTGTCTTACCCCAAAGGAATGTATAATAGCACCCTTAAAAGCATCTAAGACACGAAGAGCTCCACCATTTGTAGAAAGAAGAATGAGTTTCCCGTCATTGCTAAATTTGAGTCCCGTCCACTCGCACGTTCGGTCATACTGAAGCTTGAAGGTTGCAAAAGGACCCTGTGGACAAGATATCATAAATATGTTTAGCTCCTTTAAAAATAAAGCTAAATATCAAGTATTACACTGACATACATTATGGTAAGTCTCCGTCAAACAAACACTTCTTACCTTGTCAAACGACCGCAGATCATAAAGTTTAACCATCTCTGAATTTATTCCGGCAGCAAAAATAAGACCCTCTGGATCAAACGAGCACACTGGCTTCCCCTGGAGGTGCATCAGGCCCTGAAATTAAAAGATGAAAAGAGCAGGTCAATATCAACTTTTTCCAGCCTAAACAGTTTAATATTACATATTAGTTGAACAGGGTGGATGCTACAATAAAAAGATTCTCACCTGGCAGTTAGGTGACCGCAAATCCCACAGTCTGATTGTTTTATCTAACGAACCAGAAATAAATGTGTCGTCCACAGGAGACATGGAGAGCGATGTCACTCTGGTTACACACAAGAAAAGAGGAACACGTGAGAAAAGAGGAAATTCAAACTCCTAACATCAAATCAACACATCTTTGTAAATCTAGTCCTCACCTTTTGTTATGCCCAGGAAAGTAGCGGATGTATTTGTTGTCATGAAGGGAGAGGTACCGGATTGTATCTTAAAAAATATTAACACAAGTTAAAAATGACAATGCCAACATCCAACATGACCAACAGCAGCAAGAATTAGGCCGTGATCCAAACAGGAAGTGGGTTACAGGCTCTGAGGATGATGAGTAGACTCAACCGTGGGCAAGGCAGTCAGTTGTACAGTTAGCTCCTGTATGGGGCAGAATCACAGACCCTCAAACTGTACAAACAACTACCTCAGACCAAAGTGAGTAGGGTGGCACGCGGGTGGTTGTCCACTGGTTGTTTGCAATAACCGCAGAGCGATGATAGATCCAAAAGTAAAAATGTATTCGAATAGGAAAGACATGATCATTTCCAAAATGTTTTATGCAACACAATACTCTGCTTGAATCAGTATTTCTTGATGGTTAGCTTTTCAAAAACAACATTTTCAGTGTTGTCAACAAAACTGTTTCCCCAGTAGTTATGAACACACATTTCACATTATAACTAGAGTACAATAATCCATTTGGTATTTGCAAAACAGAAACGTTTGGCATTCTTCAATTACAGCAACAATATCACATGACACAACATAACATATAGCTTTGTGAAGCACCTTGAGGTGACGTTGTCTTTAAAGTGTGCTATATAAATCAAATGTATTATTATTATTATAACAGATACTCATGCTACAAAAACTACAAACAAGTCCTTGAGCATCAACATACCATCGATTTTGTTGGAACTGTAGACCACAGTGTTTGCAGCATGTGTGTATCTGATCAAATCCACTCCATATTTTTTGCTGTAGAGGGTCCTCTTGGGTCTGCCATAAATCAGAGATGAGAGTAAAAAATAAAACATTAGATCAGTGACTGGTATTAAATTAATCCTTGCAGATGCAGCACATCAAAGTTCCAGCCCAAATTCAAAGACAGTCTTTTTTTTAGATTGGAAAGTTTATGTTCGGAATACTCATTGATTTTTTGGACTGCTGATCAACATTCTTGACCCCATTTAATGATTATTGTAAATACTAATAGATAAGTAAAGCTGCAAATTTGGGTGTCGATTTATTTTCTGGGCATCAACTCATTCAGAAATATTAAGCTCATTACTCAATATAACTGATAATCCGTGTAAAAAAATAATATGTTAGAAGCAGCCCATATCAACCAATATAGGGATTGCAATAAACTCAAACGGGTCAAGATTGCTTGTCTATCTATGCAACAGCACGTAATTTGAAATATTTCGTAGCCTTTTCCAACAATACGATGGCTTAATATCATATACATATCAACCCTGATAAATAGGTTACCGATCAGAATTAATGAAGGATTTCAAACTGCATGCAAATTCAGACATTTAACATGTTTTCTTCACAAAATCGCTGCGGAGCATTATCGTACTGTACCAGGCCCGCTAGCTAGCTAGCTTAGCATGAACCTAACGTCAAAAACAATAGAGCAAAAATAAAGAGAAACGGCTCTTACTTTCCCTCTTGGCAGTCGTACAAGACTAGGGAATCGTCGTCGCTGCTGGAAATAATCGTTTCTCCGTTTGAACTGAAGTCGAAACAATTAATTTTGTCTGAGTTTTCTCGGAACACCTTAGCCACCCTGAAGCTCCGCAGCACATTGTCCGTCAGCTTCATGATGGCCTCTACTGCTGAGAGGAAGCAGGCCCTCGTTCTACTGTAAATTGGTTTACGGATGTCAGTTATTAGAATTCGGATATATATATGTGAACTGCAATGGCGCTAACAGTTATTTTTACAAGTATAATAGTTCAAAAACAGCTACAAAAGCCCGCCTGTAATACTGGTGATCCTCGGAATAGGAGGGAGGGAAAAGACGCACCGCCTTCCTTCCACACGTCGGGGACGCGCATCACCTGACGCGCGCATTGTCCGGAAACTACGCTCGATATCGCGATAGTTGCATTATGAAGACCTACAAAAATAATCCATGTTCCGTAAATTCCTCCATAAAGTAGCCATGAAAGAACCCGAATAAAGTGACAATAACTTGCTCACACAGCCAATTAAGAATACAATTATATCTTACAGTTTATTCCTCTCTTTGCCTGTCTGGTGAATGGACGTATACGGTCTGTGTTGTGTCAACAGTCTGGTCCAGCACTTTCTGCCACTTTTGTCTGCCTGCTCTCAGACAGAGTTTATGGTCTGTTCTCTTTTCTATCAACTTCTAGGTGTTGCCCTTGGTAGCGAAATGGACACAGGAGAAGTGAGGAAGAAAACATCTCCAGGGGATTTGTTCTCACAAACAAGACATTGTGAGGTAGGAATCCACTTTACCTTATCCGTTAGCAGCCCGTGTATTTGTCATAATGTCAAAAGTGCGAAGATTTGCACAGGTGCATAGATAGATATATTAGAGGTTCCTAAAAAACAACAACATGGGACAGTGTAAAATGTCGACGGCGACCATGGTAACGTACAAACTCGTGCTCGGGAACTCCTCAGGTTCAGTTCTCTTTCACCAAAATCTGTGACCCATAAGGGAATTGTATTTTTGTTATCATACTCTTGTCTCATACAATGACATTCGCAGCCAGTTTGTTGAATTAGTAGTGCATTCATTTAATACTAAAGAGCATCTTGTGGTTAATCGGTTACACAGTCTATGGTTCAATCAGTGCGAGTCACTGTGTGTGTTTTTCTTAAGGGATAAATAATTTGGTTTATTTTGAGAATTTGGTTTTGGAGGGGACTGTCCATTGATGTTTAAACCTAAAACTACTCTTTCGACCTGTAACTATTAATCTTCACTTGGACATATTATCCCGCATGAGAAGCACAAGAGAAGAGGTTATTCTCTTAATATTAACATAAATAAACAAGGTGTTAAGGCAATTTGAACATCTCTGTTATTGCCTTGCCTGATCTTCACTTATATTTTCTCAGATGAAAAATAAAGGTTTTGTCATGGCCTATAATAAACTACACTAACACATGTATTTAATATGTTTATTTTTGACTTTACCAATTGTGGCTGTAAGGGTAGGTGATATTGATAAAATCAGTTATAATGTACGTTATGTCAAAAAACAATTCCTGGCATACTTATAGACAACAAGACTTGTCACCAGCATGAACATGAATTCAGTGCAAACTAGTTATACTGTAGGTTTTGTAATCTTTGAACTAGTATGAATGGCTCCAAAGTCTACTCAGTGAGATACTACTCTTTCTCTTCGCCCAGTCCTGGGGGACAGAAATAAACAACTACAGGGACTGATGCACAGCTGGGTGGTCAGGGCCCAGGGTCTGATGGGTCCTGTGGTCTATTTTAAATCAATCATTACACACAGGGTAAACAACTCCAGTAAGTCTCTGGTCATATTTCCGTACGCTGCCTGACTGCTGAGCTGGAGTCTACAATACAGGCTTCAACAGAAATCCACAGGCTTTATATCCCATTTACAACCTTTGCAGGTAGGCCGTCTCATGAGTCTTTGGAAAGCTTATTCCGGGAAATGTGTTACTGGCTGATGATAACAGCTATTATCTATGTAGGGTTTTGTTTGAAGGTTCTGAAAACCTTCTTTTCAGCCTTTTAGTAAGCTGACAAGCAACACATACAGAAATTATACATGTATGTGAGTAGAATAGGTACCACACTTATCATGAATTCTTTAGATTTAACCATGGGTACTATTTAATAGAGCCAGAAGTCAGTGGACTCTGCAGCATGATATTTCAATTTGTAAGTGACCACTCGCCTTAAATGTATTACTTTACTGTTGAGTTCTGAGCCAATTAGTCCAGTTATAACTGCAGAAATAGTAGTTATATGGGTTAGGGTGCACAATGTTGAAAACTCAGCAGGTTCACTGTAAATAAACAATTGCCCTGTTATTTTCAATATTTACTTGAGTTAAAAGTGTCCACAAAACAATTTTGTGAAAAACTGAATATCTTTCTATCTGAATTTCCCTCTCTGCACATTGCTACATTCTATGTGGCGTTTTAAAACAAAATGTTTTGTGGGAACCGTCTTTGTAACTGTTACTTTTTTATTTCCATAGGCAATTACTGCTCAGAGCAAGTGAACTCTCCATGGCCCGTGTTCTTTCCCTGTTTCGGCATCAGCCTTTTCTGGTTCACGTGGGCAGGCGAAAACCTGCGTTGTGCAAAATGTCAATGGACTCCAGGGCACGCATGGTGTTTGCAGCTGCAGTGGAAGCTGTGCAGCCAGACACAGTGGTCCGACAGAGTATAGAGCGCAAGCAGGACTCGGTCATTATCAATGGTCACACATTTACACTCAAAAACAACCTGCATTTGGTGGGCTTCGGAAAAGCTGTACTGGGTATGGCTGCAGAGGCAGAGAGGATTTTGGGGGATCATTTAGTCAAAGGAGTAGTAAGCGTGCCACATGGGATTCAGCAGACATTGCAGCAGAACGGAAAAGAGTAAGCAAAAACCATAGGATGTAAATAACAACGATTCTACACAAATAGGAGTAATCAGAATATTAAAATGTATCCCTTCTATCACAGCCACCTGTTGTTAAAAGAAAACAGTCGCATCAGAGTCATGGAGGGAGCTAAACACAACTTGCCTGATACTGATGCCCAGAAGGCCGCTGAAGTAATCAAGCAATTAGCCAGTGAACTGACGGAGGAAGACCTGCTACTTGTACTGATATCAGGCAAGAATTAGATATTTTAGTTGCTTTTTCTTTACAAAATGATACCTTGTAATGTAAATCACTGATGCAAAGTGTCAAAACTGTGTCTAGGTGGAGGTTCAGCGCTATTACCTGCACCCATTCCACCAATCTCGTTGCAAGAGAAACAGGATGTTACCCGCAAACTTGCAGGTGCTGGTGCCACTATTCAAGAGCTGAACACTGTGCGACGCGCCCTGTCTTTGTTGAAGGGCGGAAGACTTGCGCATTATGCTCACCCTGCCCAGGTAATACACCTTTCTTTAATCCACTTTTTATCATACAGAACTCATTCCCCACTTTACCTTTAAACATCACTTCTCTAATTACTTCTTCACAGGTAGTTTCACTGATACTGTCAGATGTTATTGGGGACCCTCTGGACTTGATTGCCAGCGGCCCCACAGTGTCAAGTGAGGTGTGGCCTGAAGAAGTTGTATCAGTCCTTGAACGTTACAAGCTGTTGAACTCGCTTCCAGCCTCAGTAAAGGAGGTCCTTGAGAGACCAAGTCCAAGTAGGAGCCATAAAACAGATGAATCCAGCAGATCAGGGCGTGTTCTCAACGCCGTCATTGGATCCAACAGCGTTGCCCTCAAGTCGGCAGGTCGCCGTGCTCTAGAGTTAGGTTTCCGCCCTCTTGTGCTGGCACCAGGAGTGTGTGGTGATGTGAGGGCAGTCTCCAAACTCTACGGCCTTCTGGCCCGCTTTGCATGTTCTCGAGAGGAACCTCCTCCAGAGATTGCTGCTGAGCTGCTGAAGCTGGGACCTGAAGTAGGAGTGGAGAGCTGGGACCTCTGCCGTACCATGCAGGTTCTGGGTGAAGGACGTACAGAAGGATGGGGATCCACGTGTCTGTTAGCCGGAGGTGAGCCCACCGTGGAGCTGACAGGCAAGGGTCGAGGTGGTCGTAACCAGGAGCTGGCTCTGCGAGTGGGACTGGAGCTGAGAGGCATGCAGCTCCCGCCTACCGGCCCTGTCTTCCTGAGCGGTGGAACTGATGGTCAGGATGGACCCACTGATGCAGCGGGGGCCATCACGGATGGGGGGTTGTACGAAGAGGCACAAGCACAGGCACTGGACGTCAACAACTTCCTCACCAACAATGATTCTTACACGTTTTTTTCACGTCTTTCTGCTGGGCAGCACTTACTTGTACCTGGCTTAACCTGCACCAATGTGATGGATGTGCACATGCTGCTAATTCCACCAATCCCTATTAACATAGGATAAAGCTCACAAAATAAGAGGATCTAGTTCTAGGGAATAAATCAAATAAATAAAGTAATTTACCAGTCTATCTGGCTTGGCATTGTAGTATCTGTTTCTTCCAAGTCAACTTAGATATTTTACTTGTGAAACTATTAGTTAGTTATTATTAGTATTATCTACCTGAAGGCAAAACTAGTATTGCTGTATACATTTTAACGGCCACAGAGTGTATAAAAAACATTAAATGAGAGTTGCAATGATGTCAGTATTTTTGAAAAACAACACATTTAATATCAACCAAGCATTTACATAAAACTTGCACAGTTGTATTTTTCTTCTCAGGAACTTCAAGTTATCTAAAATATGCTGATGATTTTGTAGTTTAGTTCCTTTGACTAGGACTATGCACATCATTAAACATTTCTGTAAATACACACTGCAGTACATTGTCTTGTCTTCACCATTATAACAGTATTATAACGTCAGTTATAATAGCTGATGGTAAGATGGCTCATACAATGCACTTTGAAAGTATTCAACTCCCCTTTGAATTTCTCATGTTTTATTATTTTACATTAAATCCCAAGTGGATTTAACTATTCTTTTTGCCACTTAACAGAATTTGTTTTCTAAATGGTTGATCACATATAGGAAAATGTTTTAATCCTCAGGTAAATGAGGCACCTTTGACAGCAATTATGGCTTTGAATCTACTAATTATGGATAGATTTCTTTCAGTTTTGGAAATCTGATGACCAAATTATTATCTAATCTGGACTGAGGTGTGGACTCTGAACTGATCACTAAAGAACTTAAACATTGTTGTTTTCAAGCTAAATGCAGCAGTTTTTCCTTCAGGATTTTTCCTGTGGTTCATTCAGCTGAGGCTCTCCCATCAAAAGCCACTAGGGCCTCCTGTACAGAAACATCTATACAACGTGCTGCAATGCTTCGTGGCGGCTGGCACAGCCCAGATCTCACGTATGTTTTTCCTGCTGCTGTTATACTAAAACTGGTGAAGTGCAGTACAATGCTGCCTTTCTTAACAAAACAGTCAAAGTATTTAATATCAGAATCTAATTTTGATCCGTTGTATCTGATATGTTGTTTTATTTTGGCACAGGAGTTGGCTGAGTGGTCAATGTTTAATAAATGACATGAAAAAGTCAAAGAGGGGTAAATACTCTAATCAGGCACTCTGTATCTCACATTAGGTTCACACAATGTTCCTCTCAGGTAATGAGAAACAGTGTTAATTGTTCTTTCCATAAATCATCTAAACAAGTCCAATTATTTTGCTCTGCGGTAAGTGTGTGCCACCGTGTCCGTGTTCTTAAAGCACCTCAATTCACACACAATCCCATCATTGTAGGACCCATTTGTACTGAAGCCTCTTGAAAAAAAAGTTGACCATTGTCAACAAATCAATTCAAGCAAGGTTCTGCTCAATGACCAATGTTGACAAGCCAAAAATAAACAACTCACAGCACTATGTAGTTGATAAAGTGGATATCAGTGTGACACTGTTGGTATGCATAGCAGATGTTTCTTCGGGCAGTTGCCAGAATGTGCATGCATCTTGAATGCATTGGAGCAAAGTCTGAGGGTGCATTTAATGTCTCGTTACAGGAGTCCAGCTCTCACTTGGAAAAGGTCCGACACCCATGTCTTGTTAATCGCGATGAGTCTTTAGGGTAGCTCCTGCTTTGCCTTCCCTGCAAGAACAACATAATGCTTTAGCTAAAAAAAAAGTATGATAAAACACCTCAGGCTCTTATAAACTTTTTTCCCCACCCCTATTAGTGATCTGTTGGCAATAATGTATTAAGTTTAGATTACACTTTATCCTTTCAACATTTTTAATATATATAAACTGAAGCTTTAGAGCAGCAGATAGTGTGAGGAGGATCATCTATCTGTGTGTAGCGACACGGATGCTCGGACACCTACCATCCACTCAGATGAGATGCTGTTTCAGGAGTGCCTCCATTCTGACCAGTCCCTAAAAATCAACACAAACACACCAGAGATTAAAGCCAACGTGGCTAGCGCTAGTTTAGCAACTGATACAGATAAACTCAAATAAAACGTACCTTGCCGATAATACATGTCGTTGACTGTATTCCCGTACACTTTCCAGGCAAAGTGAATGGCGATAAGACTTACAATTAGCCAGCTGAGTAGGATTTTGAATATGCAAACTCTCATATCGTTGGCGAGCCAGTCGTCCACAAATTCTGAGAGGAACGACAAGCAGCTGTCAGCGATGCGGGACAGAAACTCAAAGTCCCACGGTTCCTCCATAGTGTCCGGTTATTTAGCTTATGCGAAATCAACAAGGTAAACTCTTTATCTGATGGGTAGTTTAAAAAACATCACCATGGCTAGGTAACGTTAGCGTTTGACATACTGGTCGCCATCTCTTCCCTGTCCCTACCGTTACGTTGTTTGTGTCAGTGGCGAGGATTGGAGAATCGGATATGACGTGGGTTACGTTCATAGACTGATGTTACGTAGTTTAGCCCTGCTAGTTTACAACAATAAACATCGTTCAAATAAACGGTGTCTTCTTTAGCCAACTTTGCATTTAATAAATATTATACTGGAGCATGTATATGTCTACAGCACGTCCGGCTGTTTAGTATGTGTTTCAAATTAAATGTAACGCTAAAACCAGCATAAATGTGAGTTTACTTAGCAACCCATTTCAGAATCAGAATTATAATTCCTTTAAACGGGGATATTTACAGTGTTGCAGCAAAAGTCGAAGAGCAGGTAAAAAAGGCAAGCGATAATAAGAGTTAGCTAACTTAATATATACAGAAGAAAAACACACGTTAGTAATAGAATACAACAAGTACCCAACCATGGCTTCAAATTATTACCAATTTAAAAAACGAAGGGAGATAACATATTAAGGTGTTGAGACATTATTAAAAAGGTTGGGACCTTTCTAAAAAAACATTTTGTTCACATAACAAGTGATTATTGTGTATATTGCACATTGCAGGTCACATAAGTATAGGGTATCAAGTAACCCTTACTGTTGCACGTGAAAGTATTGTATCGATCCGGACATACAGGAGACTGTATGTTTATTGTAAAAAAATATTGCTAGAGTTCAAACACACAGCTTTATAATACAAACAAATATGTGTTTATCTCTCTAAGATGTTGGTAGGGAACACTGCATACTCGTAGGGAGCGATGATGGCACAATGTGGCTAATGCTGAAATGGGAAAATGGGATTCCTGTTTTAAACTTATAAAGTATAAACTTTAAATATTACGCTCATCCAGCTACAACCATAGACTGTACTGTATGTAAAGGCTACAACGTACGTTGCTCTCATACGCAGTGCATAAGGAACGCAGCGTGAGGGGGCGGGGCTAAACCTCGCCGCAGAGCAGCCTGATTGGTCAGATTAGCTTGTCATCAGAGATTCCGGATGTCTGCTATCGTAAGAGGTACATTTGTTTTCTGCTTCTCATTCCTGACAGCTTGTTTGGAGCCGGGCTGTTGATGAAAGTTGATGTAGCGAATTAGATATTCAACTCAACGTTTGGACGGCTCAAAATCGTAAGTATTTTTCTTTGCCTTTATCTGTCTGATTTTAGCTGACCACGATTACTGGCATGCTAACTGTTAAGCCGAGGCCATGAAATTGATCTGTGAGTGTCGCTTGCTAGCAGGCAGTGTTAGCCATGTAACTGCAGAGTGCAGACGGCAACATTTCATTAGTTGCATCGGAATAAACAGTCAAATATTTATCAGAATGTTAAGGTAGGCTTTCTTGATTGTGAAGGAGTTCGTACACTAAGAAACGTGTTTGTAAATTAAGCTACTATTAAAGAAACGTCTGTTCTCTAGTTCTGGCGGTCAAACAACAATTACCGGTACTCCCCGTCCTCTTAACCGACTGCCGTGTGTTTGCAGTGTCACATTAGCCAGGCTGCTAGAAGATTAAATCAGTGTAAATGTGAGTCTGTTTGGTATCTTGGAGTTGTAACAATTTTTTCTGTTATCATGTGACCTGACGACTGCTCCAGTATGACTGCTCCTATTCATAAGAGATTGAGATGTGCATGCATGCTTTAGCTACAACCACCTTTATACATAAGTTAGCTATACTGCTGTTCATTTCGAATTGTTTTGTTGTAATATAATACATAATAATAATATTGTAATTTCTTTTAAATCTCCAGTGACTGGGATGGTATCATGGAGAGAGACAATCATCAAGTAGGAGAGACAGAGGGAGTGAAGATTTGTGATCCGCCCTGTGAGAGCAATCCACCTGGTAAGTTATTGTTTCAAGCTATTCACATTTTAAGCTGGCATGTCTTTATCATTCATTACATAAACTAATTGTTGTTTTTTTATTTTAGCTGACACTTTGGCGACTTCTCTCTCCCTCTTGGGGAATCACATGTTTCCTTATCCATTGGAGAGAAAACACAGGAGCGCTGTTGAAGAGGAGCCTGCAGATTCACTGTCAGACGTTACAGCTGAGGAGGAGAGTCTGGATGGAGAGCCCCACTCTCACCAGGTAACAACGCTAGAGACTGAAGAGACCGAAAGCTCTGAGTGTCAGAACAATGTGTCCACCCAGCAGTTGGACATAGAAAATGAGGATACTGCCACGGACAATGAGCGGAGCGACTCTGGGGAGTTTGTCGTCACAATGCTGGCCCAGGCCAAGCTGGAGGAACAAGGACTAGGCGTGAAGGGAGGGTCTTCTCCCTTATTGGAGGCAGAAACCCAGGAGCCTCCTGCTTTTATGTCTCATCGTGATGAGGATGTGACAGCTGACAGCTGGAGGCAGCACAGGAAGCATGTTTTTGTTCTGAGTGAAGCAGGCAAACCCATATATTCCCGTTACGGCAGTGAAGAGGCTCTTTCTTCTACAATGGGAGTCATGATGGCGCTTGTTTCCTTTGTCCAAAGTGGAGATAATATCATCCGCTCAATCTATTCAGGTGAGAGCATTTTTTTTTCTTTCATATAACGTTTGCAACTTTGTTATAGATGCAATTTTCTATTTGTATTAATCAGAGCAAGTGTATGCATTTTTCAGGAAGTGGGTACCAAGAGCAGTCAGTAGATCTGTAGACTCTAGCTTGCCAAAGTGGACAAGAAATTATTACCACAAAAAAATCATGACATGAGCATGGAGACGTTAATATCAACTACACATTTAATCAACTATTTTACATTCATTTTGTAAGTAGCACAGCAATTTATTTTGGAAGTTTATACTACTATTTACACACACATTCAAGTCCACAACATGTCCAATATCTTTAATTTTAGACATGTATTTTTTTTGTTTACAATTTTTGTGGGGGTGTGTGTGTGTGGGTGGGTGGGCGCAGGCGCAGTATTGGAGAAGCGGAATATAAAAGCCCACAAAAAAAAACACACACTTCCTATTATTATACTAAAACTGTTCCATGAGATAAATACAACAATACACAACTATCATATTTGTTTGTAGAATTTACCAGTACTGACATTAACGCTTGGTGATGTCTTTTTTTCTCGTGCATCAGATGGGCACACCGTGGTGTTTTTACAGAAAGGGCCTCTGGTGCTGGTGTGTGTCTCCAGCAGTCGTCAGACGGAGCAACAGCTGCGTGGAGAGCTCCTCTATGTCTACTATCAGATCATCAGCATGCTCACACAAGCCAGCATATCTCGCATCTTTGAACACAAGAAGAACTACGACCTGAGGAGACTTCTGGCGGGCTCAGAGAAGATTCTGGACGGTCTTCTCAACCTGGTGGACTCTGACCCTTGCTTCCTGCTGGCAGCTGTACAGTGCTTACCCTTGGCCTCCTCTCTCAGGGACAATATCAGCCAGATACTGCAGAAAGCCATCACCCCAAATCTGGTTTTCTCCATCCTCATCGCCAACAACCAGCTGCTCACCATCGTCCAAGAAAAGACAGTCATCGAGGACTCCAGGTTGGAGCCCGCTGACATCCATCTCCTGCTCAACCTCATCGGAGCCTCCTCTGCCTTTCAGGCTGGGGAGATCTGGACTCCCATCTGCCTCCCCCTCTTTAATCCTGACTGTTACTTTTATGCATACATTTCTTACCTGGACCCTCCAGAATGCACTGTTTGCTTGCTGCTGCTCTCGACAGACAAGGAGGCTTTCTACGCTGTAGCTGAGTGCAAGAGGAAGATAGAGGAGGCCATGATGGCGCAGAACTCTCTGAGCCTCATTGCCAAAGTCCAGTCGTACAGCGTGAGCCAGGTGGGCGTCTCAGACCTCAGACACTTCATGTACAAGCCCTTTGACGTCCCAGACACCTACCAGCAGCTCACTCAGTTCACCAGGTGTGTGTGTGTGGGTGTGTTTCACTATTATTATCTATGCAACTACAGCGGGGACATAAACAATTCTAAACTGGTACATTATGTTTTAAAAATCAATTAATTTGTCTTTTTATGAATGTGTCTGTGATTTTTCAACCAAGAAAATTAATACAACTTAGTGTGGTTAGACGTTAAAAATTAAAGTGTCCTTTTCGAGAATCTAGGAAAATGGAAATTCAAACGGTTCTACAAATCAGGCCAATTCACTCTACTTATCTCCCGAATGAGATTAATTTAAATTAGTAGGTGTTAAATAGAAAAAGCCAATTAAACCTTGATAATAGAAGGAAAATCATTCACATATTAATAATACTTAAGAACTAAAGGACTGTTTTTTTAGACTGGAAGTGTATCTCACCAGGTTTAAAATTCAATTATTTTAGCGATAGAAAAAATAGCCGTTGCATTTTACTGTATCTTTGTATTTGTAATGCTTCTTTGTCGTTAACCTTTACTCTGCAATGTGTTGCTGCATGTAGCCCAGAGATGGAGGCCCCGTACAGCAGTGAAGAGGAGAAGATGAGACTGCTGGACCTCTACCGGTATATGCACAGCCGCATCCACAGCACCTCCCGACCCCTCAAGCTCATCTACCACGTGGCTGAGAATGAGACCCTGCTCGCCTGGGTATGTAGCACTGTCGCCATATACATCTTCTAAATACTGTCTTAGCCAATATTCACTAATGTTGACATGAGGGTGTGAACTAGATGTGTTTGAAGGATTATTAAAGGAAACACTTTCATAGATATGTTCATCTGCTTCCTTCAAAAAAGATTAGATTAGATAAAACTTTCACTCTTATGTGTCTGTTCAATATGAAGCTGGAGCCAAGCGACTGTTAGCTTAGCTTAGCATAAAAACAAATGGAAATAAGGGGAACAATTAGCTGTTGTGGTTTTACTGGGGGTTAGGTGTTGTACTATTTCACGGCTGGGCACTGTCACTAATAAATATTTGGGATGAACTATATTTATGTGGCCGATAATGGGACAATTACATTATGTTTTACAATACAATACAAAGCCAAATTGCTCTCATTAACTTAAAGCTAGCATTTACACATTCTGATACAATTGTTGGTAAAGC